ACACACACACACACACACACACACACACACACACACACACACACACATACCGGATGGAGCAAACTCAAAAGAGCAAGTTCCAACAACTGTTTATTATTTCTTAGTTCCTATTGTACCCTCTAAAGCAAAGTTCTACATCAGAGGAAAATCACCCCATGGCTATAAAAAAAATTATCACAAACATAGATAAAGTTACACAAGAGGGGGTATAGCAGGGTTATTGATTACATTTTTTTAATAAAATTCTCATTTGACTAAACATTATCTCTCAGCTCCACAAGTTCATTGTAAGTTCAACACAAATTTTATCTGTCTTCCATAAGCTCATTATAAGTTCAAAGCAATAGTATTTTTGTGTGTGTCATAGGTTAATAGGGTTTTTACCAAGAAATAGGGCATCTACCTTATGTCTTATTTTTGAAGTCTTGTATGGCTAAGTCAGGTAATCATCTATTTTCTGTTCTATACTCATAATAGAATCACTCATTCTGTGTTCATGGCTTTTCTTTCATGATACACACCAAGACCTGACCTCATCTCTGGACCTAACCTAGAGTCAATGTTTTCCTTTATCAGAAATTTGTCCCAAGACAAATGCTTGTGACACATGAAGGCTCACAGAACTCCTTTTGCAGGTTTTGCTGTTCTGCAGGGGTCACTTAAAACTATTTAAATCAAAATCAGGAATTCTACAAAAATCATTATCAGGAATTATAAAATCATCAATTCATCTAAACAGCATTATTTTATGAAAGTACATCTTCATATTGATCTGCAGGGAATGTGGCCAACAGAGAGGGCTAATACCCAGGAAGCAATCATACCAGACTATAGGCAGTGTGAGTATCCTCACATCCAGTCATACCATGCCAAATATATGAGGAATGCAACAATGACAAGCATGAAAAGGCATATCAGCACAAGAAGCAATCCAGAAACAAAAGTCCCTGGGGTCCAAGCCTCTCCAGGGCATGCCCATTGTAGCTATACAAAATGGTGAGCATCTCCAGGAGACTGACTGACTTAGTACAGCTTTTCCTGCACAGCTTCTGCTACTGCTCTTTACAGAGAATCCTAATTGTTTAAATCTATTATCATTAATCACTTTTCAGTAGTTTTCCATGTATGTATATTTTCCTTAGTTATTAGGCATGTACATACTATTTATAGTCTGCTTTTGTCATTTCCCTTTGTTAATGTTGCTGTTTATTATTACCTCCACATCTGTCAACTAGAATAGTATAGAAATAGTTCTTGGTGTTAACATATCATAAAGGGAGCTTCCCTATATTTAATATTTGGGTTTTCAGGTCTTAATTAGTTTCTTCAAGGAATATTTTAAGTATATCTGTCTATTGCTATAGTTATAGGGTGAAACTTATATAGTGGAGTAGTCTAGTGAGGAGACTGACAAGGATGTAAAGTACAGATTAACAAAGTGCTCTAGCAGGTTGTTGAAACAGGAAGTAACAAGGAACACTTACTTGAGACTCTAGTGTTACTTGTATAGTAGACTCAGACTTAAGGACTGAAGAGGTGATCATGTAAAGAAAGAGAAAAAGAACTTTGAGACAGATAAATGGCAGGCGGACTGACAATATGGCACAGTGGTTAATATAATCAGGACCAGAGTTTGGATTCCAGCTGGGTTTCCCCTCCAGTGCCTGTAATCGCAGCTCTGATGGGATGAAGACAAGAAGGTTGTTGGGGCTTGCTGGCTTCTGAGCCTCAAGCTCCAGACTCAGGAAGAAACCCTGACTAAGGAACAAACACAAAGTGATGGAAAAGAAAATCTAATGCTTCTGGCCTCAGTGTGCATGCACATACATACATATTATTAAAATAAAATTAAGAAGTCCTAAAAGGAAAAGAAACTTGTATTTCAAAGGTAAACGTTCCTGGAACTGAAGAAAAGATTGGTGGATAGAAGAGATACAAGATGGTGAATCTTTGGAGGAAATACAGGTGATATGGGGCAGGTGAGCAGGACTCAGTTTCTGTGCAGCCTTGAAGGTAGGGGAAGGTAGGGGAGGAGGGCCAGGTTGGGAAACAACATTTATTTCTGGTGAATGTTGTATTTTGGTGTTACTAATATTTACTATTGATAAATCTTTTAATAAAGCTGCAGTTAATCCTAAACAGCTGTATAACCAAATCACCACACAGAGACTGGGTTTATTTAGTTAACCTAGAACACAATGCTGGGCAATAGTTACTCCATCCTAAACCTCCAAGCCCTCATAGTTTCCTGCCATTCAGATTTCCCACATTATACTTACTTTTAGTGATAACTTAGGTCCGGTTCATTTCTCCTCGTCGTTCCAAGGCCTCTCCTCCAGCCTCTGCTCTTCCAGCTTCTCTCCTCTTCTCCCCCCTACCACTTCCTCCCCTCCGGTTCCACCCTTCTCCTTCCGACTCCTTCCTCTCCTCCCACTCTCAACCAGGATGTCCACCCTATCCTCTCCATTGCTCAATACTGTGGCCAGTTGTTTTAATTGACACATTAGAGAACAAATAGTGGCATGTTTACACAAACTTGAAACAGGTGATGCTTAGAATAAACATCACAATGCAATGTCTGGATTGAAACCAGATAGTGGGGAGAGAAATCAGCATTTGAATGAACAAGGGTAAGGTGTATACATTCCAAAAGAACATTATACCAACAGGTGAATTAATCTGATGCCTTATCAGAAGAATTCAATAAACTGACTAAATAGTCCCATCACCTCTGTATTGTCATCGTATCTTTTTAGGTTCTAAATATTATGTACGTTTCCCAGCCCTTGCTTTCATTTTGGCACTTAGTGTACATCAAATTTTTTTAATTCATTTTTAAATTTCTTTAAAAATTTATTTCTGTAAGTTGTCCTTAGAAAAAGAAACAGAATCATAAGAAAATTCCTTGAGATATGAAAGCTCCCTAATTTAGCTTTTTTTAAATATAAACACAGTATCTCAAATGAACTCTTTAAACAAAGCAAAATGAATGTTTTTATTTTTTATTTTGCAGTGCTAAAGATTGAAATATTCTCTCGTGTGTGTGTATGTGTGTCTGTGAGAGAGTGTGTATTGTGTGTGTGTGTGTGTGTGTGTGTGTGTGTGTCTGTCTCTGTGTTGGGGGTACAAGTATGAATGTAGAGGTCAGAAAACAACTTGTGGGGGGCTGGAGAGGTGGCTCAGCAGTTAAGAGCACTAGCTGCTCTTCGGAGGACCTGAGTTCAGGTCCCAAATGGCAGCTCACAACTGTCTGTAACTCCAGTTCCAGGAGATCTGGCACACTTAAGACATGCAAGCAAAAGACCACATAAAACTAAATAAGTCTTAAAGAAGAAGAACAAGAACAGGAGGAGGAGCTGCTGTACTGAAATAAATATCATTTTTTGGAAGAAGCTTACCAAAATAAAAATATATCACATTTATTATAGCATTATTAAGAATGACTTTAAAGTAGAAAACTCAGTGTTGTCCACTGGTACTTATTCTGTAGAGCACTGTACAGACTTTTTTTTTTTTTTTTTTAATTAAAACCTCATGCCAGGCACAGTGGTACACACCTTTAATCCCAGCACTCAGGAGGCAGAGGCAGGCTGATTTCTTTGAGTTCAAGGCCAGCCTTGGTCTACAAAGTCCAGGGCAGCCAAGGCTACATAGAAAAACCCTGTCTTGGAAAAAGAAAGAAAAGAGAAAAGAAAAAGAAACTTTATTATAAAATACACACCAAAACTGATCAAAGTCTGTATATCTCAATGACTCTAGTGCATAAAAAATATATTTGATAGTGAAAGTATAAAATTAAGTAAATTCAGAATAGCTAATCTAACTGTATAGAAGTTCACCAAAATATATTCTTAGTAGCTCATCTAAATGTTTGGGGGGTGGTGTTTGTCTCTAGGAACTTGATCAGAATGCCACTGAGAAAGTTCAGGCAATGTTCACAGCCATTGATGAGCTCCTCTACGAGCAGAAGCTGAGCGTGCACACACACAGTCTGCAGAAGGAATGCCAGCAGTGGGCGTGCAGCTTTCCTCACCTCAGGTATGGGACAGGGCTCAAGTATAAATACGGTTGTCTCAAGTCTTGAATTCTGAAACTTTAGGAGCTTTAGATTCTTTTCTTTTTTGAGACAAGTTCTCACTCTGAAACCCTGGCTGTCCAGGAACTCACTCTGTAGACCACACTGGACTTGACTCAGAGATCTTCCTGCCACTGTTTTCCAGAGTGCTGGGATTAAAGACTCACCTGGCCTGAGAAGGTTTTTTGGTTTTTTGGCTTGTTTGTTTTTCTTTTAATGTACATGATTTTGATGAAATTATCTAAAGCCATGTTGTGCAAAGCCTCAGCTGAAAGAAAACTCAAGTTAGAAGTTAATTGGATTTATCCTAACAACATATTCCGTTTTTGTTTTTGGTTTTCTAAGACGGTTTCTCTGTGTAGCCCTGGCTGCCCTAGACTCACTTTGTAGACCAGTCTGGCCTTGAACTCATAGAGATCTGCCTGCCTCTGCCTCCCTGAGTGCTGAGATCAAAGGCGTGCACCACTTCGCTCAGTTCAATGTATCATTCTAATTGAGCTTCCCCATTTCCCCCTTTGGACACAGGGTCTCACTATGTAGATCAGGCTAGCCTTGAAGTCATTTATCTGCTGCTTCTGCCTCCTTGGTGCATGTGCCCCCATACCTAGCCATGAGTAAAACTTTTTTTAAGTGCCTGTTTATGTGTGAGACAAGGTCTCAGGTGGTCCAGGTTGGCCTTGAACTTTCTTTTTGTTGTTGTTGAGTATCTCTGTGTACCCTTGGCTGTCCTGTCCTTACTTTGTAGACCAGGCTGGCCTCAAACTCAGTGATCTGCCTCTGCCTCCCTGAGTGCTGGGATTAAAGGGTATGCCACCATTTCTGTTCAACCTTTTTTTTTTTTCTTTTCCCTACGCTGAATATGGTATCACATGCCTTTAATCACAGAGGTAGAGGATCTCTGAGTTCAGGGCCAGCTTGGTCTACAAAGTGAATTCCAGGACCGCCAGGGCTATATAGTGAGACCCTGTCCCAAAAAAAAAAAAAAAAACAAACAAAAAAAACCCTTAGGTTATGATGTTTTGCCTTCATGTATGTATATGTATTGCAATATACCAAGTACCCATGGAGGCCAGCTGTGAACTGCCAAGTTGCTGTTGGGAACTGGTCCTGGTCCTCTGCTGCAAGGGCAGAGTGCTTTCAACCTCTGAGCCATCTCTCCAGTCCCATGTGTTGAACTTTGCATGTGAACTGATGATCTTGAACTTCTGATCCTCTAGCCTCTACCTCCAAGGGCCTGGGACATGAAACATGAGATATGATGTCATATTCCAAGTAAAATATCTCTATCAGTAGCTGGCTTCTGAGTGTCAAGGCATTTCAGACCATTTTTGAACAAAATGGTCAGAAAAATGTTCTGTTTTTTCTACTGTCTACAAGTAATTCTTTTATACTCGAAAGAACACACATACTGTTCCCTGAGAAACCATAGTAATACCACTACAGCGTGTACTTAAATTTTCGATTAATGTTATTAAGAATATGATTCATGGCCTGAAGAAATGGTACATCAGTTAAAAGCACTGGCTGCTCTTCAGAGGACCCAGGCTCAATTCCCAGCACCCTCATAACAGCTCACAACTATCTGTAATTCCATTTCTAGGTATCTAATACCCTTACACAGACATACATGCAGACAAAACACCAGTGCACATTAAATAAATCACTTTCTAAAGAATATGATTGATAGTTTTCACTAATTTGTCTGGGCCTCCATCCTCTCAGTGTTTGTGGTAGGAGGAGGCATGCTGTGTGTGCGGTGTGCTGGGGATGGAACCCAGAGCTGTGTCATGCTAGGCAAGTATTCTACTGCCAAGCTACAGCCCTAGCTTTTCTTGGATTTTTCTTTAAACCCCTGGGCGATGGCTTTATCATTATCTTTTCCATATATATTCTATCAAAGAGAATTATGCCTGAGTAAGAACTCACATTTCCTCTCAAGAGTCTTTCTTAATGTGACTAAATTTGTGGGATTTCCATGTAGAGCCATCAGATTTGTTGCTGAAAAGCTCAGATTTCCATGCATGGCAAGTGAGGGTACTTGACTTTGTCTGTTCTTCATTGAAGGGTTCTGGGTAGACAGATAATCACCCCGAGTGAAGGCTATGGCTTGTACCCTAGATCCCCTTCTGCTGCGTCGGCTTCACATGAAGCAGCCTTGTCTCAAGAAAGAGATTCTACCATGTAAGTGTTCTACTGTGCAAGTACATCCGTTTCCTAGCTTGCAGTAATGGTTCTCTTGGGAGGATGGTGGCACAGAAGAACAAAGCCTAGCTTCTGAGATATGTGAACTGGGGCTGCTCTTTGGCCACTTTTTGTTTTAGGAGGTATCTGAGAAGTATGTCCTGAGTAGTTTTTTTACATTAACATACAAGGTTGCCATAAAATAAGGCTTATTAGTGACTAAGAGTCTCTACAAAAATCCTATCCGTTTGATACATTGCACTAAAAACAAACAAAAACCTTCCAATAGATTCCCACTGCCTTTAAGATAAAATACAAAATTATAAGCTGACCCTGCCTACAGCTCTGTTTTTATCTGTCGCTTTCTTGCCTCTCCTTCAGCAATCCTCCCAGTGTTGCTGTCTCTCATCTTAAATACATCAAATTGAGGCTGGTCCACTTCTTGTTCTGGAAGTGCTCTTAGTCTGGGAAGAAGACACACAGAAGCAATTCAGTAATTATTTGTATGTCTGACTGACACCTAGCATACTGCTTGGGATACCATTGACATTTAACTTCCTTTCTAGTTTTTTAAATCTAAATGAGAGCATATTTACATGATAACAATACACAAAAAAAGTAGACTAGTGTATAAATCAAGATTATGGTTTCAAACAAGGTGTTCGACAAAAATAGTTGTGTGTATATCAGAATGGTAGTCCAGGAAGTTAAAGTATTAGAAGACAGTGTCAGGCTACAGAAGCACAAGCCAAAAAAAAAAAAAAAAAAAAAAAGGGGGGGGGGGAACCAGAGACAGAGAGACTGACTGACTAGCTGGGTGTGGTAACACACACCTTTAATCTCAGCACAGGCATATCTCTGTGAGTTTAAGGCCATCCTGGTCTACAAAGTCAGTCCAGGACAGCCAAGGCTACACAGAGAAACTGTCTCAAAAAACAAAAAGAAAGAAAGAAAGAAAGAAAGAAAGAAAGAAAGAAAGAAAGAAAGAAAGAAAGAAAGAAAGAAAGAAAGAAAGAAAGAAAGAAAGAAGGAAGGAAGGAAGGAAGGAAGGAAGGAAGGAAGGAAGGAAGGAAGGAAGGAAGGAAGGAAGAAAGAAGCCATGAAAAGTTGAGTTTGCAGAGATAAAACTGCATTCATTTGCTTCAGTCAAGTTAATGTAAGAGTTGTTTCTAGACAGGGTCTCACTGTGTAGCCCTGGCTGGCCTGGAACTCACTATGTAGACCCAGAAAGCCTCAAACTCACAGAGCTCCACCTGCCTCTGGTGCCTGAATTCTTAGATTAAAAGCATATTCTACTACACCCAGCTGTATTTATTACAGATACATATTTCAATCAATGTTGGGGGCAATGCTGTTGAGAAACTAGACTCTACCTCCTAGGTAACGAAGTAGGTCCTTACCATGGCATACCCAAAACAACAACCCTCCAGTGAAACACAGCAAATGCTTTCATGGTACTGGGTTCACAGTGTTTATACTGTCATGGGCAACATTAAAAAAGTAGCCAAAATCTTGTATGCAAATAATGAATCAAAAGAGAGAGGGGGGCTAGGAGAAAATGTTTACAAATCATATGTCTAATAAGGATGAATAGCCAGAAGGTAGAAGGATTTCTACAATTCAGAAAACAAAAACAGCCTAACTGAAAATGGGCAGAGGACATGAATAAAGAGTTCTCTAAAGGTGAGTAGCTGTCTGCTGATGAACAGATGCTCCATGTTACCATCAGAAGAGAAATATAAATCAGAGCCAGGGAGCATCACCTAGCTTGACCAAGGTACTGAGCAATAACCATAGCACTGGAGAAAAAAGATTTAGAATAGTTCAGGAATGCATTGCTAGGAGAAGGAGGGTTTGTTCCAAAAGTTATGTTACTTGTTGTGTGAGATCTGTTTGTTTTAATATGTCATTAATGCTGTTTTTTTCTTCCCTCTCCAAGATTTGGTATAAGGGGAAAGAGGTTACATTTTTCATCTTACAAAGCATCTCCCACCATCAAACCCTCTGGTTTGTCTGCTATGGAAGGAGAAGAGGCAGATTGTATTATCCTTTCTGAAGGAATAATTGAGGAGTACTTAGCTTTTGACCACACGGATATGTGAGTACTGCCTTTAAATTTTTTTCACTCTGTTTTGTGTATTAGCATCTACTTTTTTGAAACTGCATTACTGATACCTCTTATATTTGTAACAATTTGGTATCTCTTTCTAGTCAGCTCCAACATGCAGAGCTTATGTCCTGTTGCTTCCAAACACCAGGCCTATACTTCCTTCTTTACTATGTTCTGCCTTTCCTTATGATCAAAGATTTTTAAATGATTTTATCTACATAATTTGACTTTATCCTTTTATAAATTGTCACCAGTGGACACTGAAACTTCAAAGAGTAGCTGAAAAGATGCGAACTTTGTTTATTTAAAATAATTTTTTCTTTGTTTTTGTTTTGAGACAGGATTTCACTATGTAGTCTTGGCTGGCCTTGAATTCCACCTGCCTCTGCCTTTGAAGTGCTAGGATTAAAGGTGTGTGCCACCATGACCATCTAATTCTTACTTTAAAAGGACACATACAGTTTATCAGTTAATAATGCTTATTTATATCCACTTATATTCTGATAGTAGTTATATAACAGTGAGAAGCAGAGTGCTGAAGTGATTTGTGGATTAAAGTTAAGACCAAAACCTTATTCATCTGATTCTAAAAGCAATGCTCCCATCCACCATATTGCATGCTACCTTTCTGAAATGCAAACTATTTTTCTAAGTCCTTAAAAGTTCTAGAATTACTGGGTTGTGGCTCAGTTGGTAGAATGTTTTACCAACAAATACAAAGCTCTGGATTCAATCCCCAGCACTGCATAAACTGGGAACAGTAGCTCTTGCCTGTCATCCCAGCATTCATGAGGTGGTGATAGGAGAATCAGTGGCTCCCATCCTCAGCTACAGAGAAAGTTTAAGGCAAGCATGGGTTATGTGAGACCCTGTCTCAAAAGTAAATAAATAGGGCTAGGGAGATGGCTCAGTGGGTAAAGTGCTTGTCATATAAGCCTGACAAACTGAATTCAGATCTCTAAAACCCACATAAGCTAAATGCAGTAGCTCAGGTGTCTGTCATTGCCAGAACTTCTCTAGGGAGTTGAGAGGCAGACAAGAGAATCTCCAGACACCGATGAGTCTGTTAGTGTGGCATGCCTGTCAGTGAGCAAGAGAAATCCCATCCCAAACAAGGTGAAAGGGAAGGGCTGACACCCAAGGTTGTCCTCTAACCTCTGCATGTATACCATGGCATGCACACACATCCCACACACAAACTAATGTTTTAAAAAAGAAAATTTCCAGAACATCTGGAAGTGCTGGTATTGTGTTAGGCTGTGTGGTCTCATCTGGTTATTATATCATTTGAATCTAGACTTCCCTTCTTCTTATGGTGCTTCCTCCTGCCATGTTCACTCATGCGCACACAGCCCTACACCAGCAAATAAGCAGATGCTGTACCAAACACCACCAAGCTAGTTCTGTGTGTAAGGGAATTTTGAGTAAGTGCTTTTGATTTTCTAGAGACCCCTCCTTCCCTAGCCTTTGTCATCTACTTCTTCTGTCTTTTGTTTTTTCTCAAATCAGAAGTCTGCCCCTTTGGTCCTTCTTCTTAAGTTATGAAGAATGAAGTTGATTGAAGTCACTTAAAATGTGATACAAATGGCTGATATGTGCTCCCAGGGCACCTTTCCCTTTTTCTGATGAGAGTATACCCAAGTGCATTTTCAGGTAATATGGGCAAGACTTCAGATAGTACCAAAATGTATTCTTGTAAAGTGACACAGTAGTTGGGCCTTTAGACTGTTCCTAACTAAAGCTGGGCCTACTGGAGCAGGCCTGTAATCACATTTATTCAGGAAGCTAAGTCAAGAAGAGTCACAAGTTCAAAACCAGCCCGGGCTATAAAGTGAGATCAGACCAACTTACATAACCTGGTGAGACACTGCCTCAAAATAATAAGTTAAAAGGCTGGAGCTATAACTTGCCCAGCATGCAGAAGATCTCAGGCTGAAGCTCCAGTAGCACAGGGGGGAAAAAAAAAAGTTCCTAACTGAATACATTAAAGTAAGTGAAAATGCTTGCAGAAAATGAGTACATACACTAGTTTTAGCAAATAACTTTCATACAAGTAGAAAACCCACCCAAGAAAAAGTAACATTCCTAACTTATTCTTTGTAAAAATTAAATTTAAATTTCACATATAAAAATTTATACATAAAAGATCAAATCATGTAGGTTTAGGAAAAATGGAAGATTGGGTTTTTTTTCTGTTTTTTTTTTTTTTTTTGTATATTTGTTTTGTTTTTTGAGACAAGGGCCCTTTCTAGCTTGGAATTTGGTATACAGACAGTGCTGGCCTTGAACTCACAGAAACCCACCTGCTTCTGTCTTCAAGTGCTGCTATTAAAATTGTGTGCCACTACCCTAAGCCTTAAAGGCATTTTTTAAACCCTAATACAAAATCTCTGAGTCATATAAGAAGTTCTTAAATGATGAGATTAGATGGCATTTCTGCATAGGAAAAAGAAACACAAAGTCAAACAGGAAAAGGACATGAACGGAAAGTTCATATGAGCAGAACAAACATTTTAAATGTGTGAAATTCAACCACATTTAAATTAGGGATAAAATGTCAAACTGTAATGAGGTAGTGTAATACCCGTCAGGTTGAGAGGACATCAAGTAAATCCTTAAATGACATATTCTTTTACTATTGGACCATCTTGAGAAGATGGTGGGCCTTATCTTTCAAGTTGAAAAGTAGATATTCTTTACCTCACTTACTGTATTTATAGGAGTCTCTTCTACAGATGTACTCACCCATGAAGTGATGCACTGTATAACAGTTACACTACGGACCATAGTCAAAAACCTGGCTAGTTGCATACATGTGGTGCAGCTGGTAGAATGCTCCAGTTCTCTAAGAAACAGGCTAATATGTGCTGGTAGAAGTTTCAGATACACTGGTAAATAAAGAATGAGGTGCAGTGTAACACATGCGGTGATTATTTCTCGGGAACAGTATAGAATATTTGTTTCTGATGATAGGGACCAGGAATCAGAGATGTGGAAAACATCGTTTTCACTATGAGTCTTTCTATACATTTGATTTTTTTTTTCTTCACCAAAAGAAGGTATATGCCTGTAGTCCCAACATTTGGTAGTTAAGGACAAGTCTGATCTTAACTTAAATCACCACAGATTTAAGACCTTCCTGGTCTACATAGTGAGTTCTAGTTTGTCAGGGCTACATACCAAGACTGTACCTCAGAAATAACTTTCAAAAATTAAAACAAGTAAATACAGTTGAGCACAATCCAATCATTCTGATGCTCTTAGGTCCCCTACTAATAGCAAGCTAGTTTTTCCTTAGGTAGCTGGCTTGCATGAGTCTCTTTCCTGTCTGTTTAGTTCTGGAGACTTCTGCTGCCTAAGGGCAGTCTTCACTCTAGAAACTGGCAACATTTTTTTTCCCTTTTGTAAGCCACTTTGAAAGCCATTTGCCTTATCTTTCTGTATTGTAGTCTATGGTAAATAAGCACACTGCCAGCTAACCCTCCCCAGCCCCAGGTTCTTGGTATTTCCCTTAAAGAAGCAGATAGATTTGTGAGTTTCTGGTTACAGGCACTAGTCTCCAGAACACCCCTCAGGAATTCTTGTGTATTTCAGTCCCCACATTTGAGGGGCAGGGGTTACTAGGACAGGATGGGGATAAAAAGAAGGAATCCAGTCTCTTCTGCTGAGAACTTCCTTACTTTATAAGTTAGCTTCAGGTGCTACATTTTCAGGTTGAGGAGGAGGGTGGAAAGGGGACAGCAAGCACATTTCTGAGTATAAAGGACAATGGTGGTGCTTAGAGAAGAATAATCATGAAATCTTTCCCTTCTTGCTTCTATTCCAGGGAAGAGGGATTTCATGGAAACAAATCAGAAGCAGCTACAGAGAAACAGAAATTAGGGTACCCTCCCATTGCTCCATTTTACTGCATGAAAGAGGATGTTCTTGCTTATGTGTTTGACAACGTGTGGAGCAAGGTTGTGGGCTGTATGGAGCAGTTGACACGTAGTCACTGGGAGGGATTTGCCTCTGGTAAGGATTCTCATGAAACCAATGTAAACAATAATTATTTATGATATACAAATCACAGTCAGTCTTTTTGTGTGTGTGTGGTGCCCATCAAACCAAGGACCCTGTGCATGCTAGGACACACTACCAAGTTACAGCACAACCTTTTTTATTTTTTTAATGTTGAGACAGAGTTTCACTGAATTATGAAGGCAGGCCTTGAACTTGTGTACTTCTTGCTTCAGCCTCTCGAGTAGCTGGTATTACAGGCCTGTGCTTTCAGGTCTGGCTCTAAGAAGTCAAGGTTATATCCTTTATTAGTACAGTACCTGGGTATGAGAGGTAGCAAAAACCTCTTTATACATACAAACACACTTCTGACACTAAATGTGTAGAGGTATTCCCACATTACTTAATAGGTTCTCTATTGTAGAGTCTCACATACCATTGGAGTATCCTATGGTTCAGTTCTCATACTACCTGGAAGGTAGCTTTAGATCCCAAAGGGTTCAGTCCCACAACCTTTCTATCAAACTTCATACCTCACATGACACTTTCAAGCTTCAGTTTCTGACCTATGCTTCTAGCCAAAAATTAAAATTCATGCTAGAATGGTGCACAGGACTCAGAGAGAAACTGAGGCTTGCGGGCTTATAAAGAATACCACAAAGGATATGGATGAGCAGCCAAATCAGAGATGCATAGGACAGCATAGGGAGAAGCAAAGAGATGTATGCACAACACCCTCCCAACACCTTCAAGTGTAGTCTGGAAGCTCTTCTGAAAAGGGCCTCTGTAGTCCTCATTATGTCAGCATGACTGATTAAATAAATGGCCATTGATCAACTCAACTTTCAGCTCCTCTCTTCATAAGGCTAAAATTTCCAAACCTGATTACGTGGTTGTTTCTCCCTGGCTGTTAGTTCTCTACCTCGACCACATCCTGAAACTATTCACTTTCCCAACTACCATCCATATTTTCAGAAGAGAGAAAGATACTGTTGCTTTGAAAATTCTAAGGGTTTTAGGAGCTATGTGCCAGAAAATAGGTAGAGACCAAATATGTTTTTTTATATTACATCAATTAAGTTTGATTAATGTTGGTGTTTCTAACAGAAACTAGCAAAGAACTTAGTAAATATCTGAGAATGGGTACAGGAGTAGAGGCCTCATCTGTGGTCATCAGAGTTTGTACTTTCTCCTCTAACATATCTGTGAGGAAAACCATGTAAGTGGCATATGCTTCTCATACTGTCTCAGTGAAGAGTAATTAACACACAAGAGACTTTACAACTTCAAGTATAAAATGTGGTAAGTTCTCTTCTCTTTTATGTATATACCCATGAAGCCCTCATCAGTTGGTACAGTGAACATCCATCACTCCCAAAAGCTCATACCCTTTACAAGCCCTCCCTTCTGTCATTCTATGTTGCTTCTGTCCCAAAAGATGCTTCTGCTGAGAGAAGCCAGAGTCTCATAGGAAGTGTCATTATTTGAAAGGATTAGGACTAGTGGCCTTGTTAGGAGTGTGTCACTGGGCATAGGCTTTGAGGTTTCAAATGCTCAAGCCAGGCCCAGTGTCACCTTCTCTTCCTGCTGCTCCAGATATAGAACTCTCAGCTGCTTCTCCAGCACCATGTCTGCCTGCATGCTGCCATGTTTCCCACCATAATATTGGACTAAAACTCTAAACTGTAAGCCAGCCCCAGTTAAATATTTTCCTTTATAAGACTTGCTGTGGTCATGATGTCTCTTCACAGCAACAGAAACCCTAAGACAGAAGTTGGTACCAGGGACTGGAGTATTGCTGTGACAGGCCTGACCGTGCTTTTATTTGGAGGAATGTGGACTTTGGATTAGAAAAGCAGTAGAAAACTTTCAGTGGGGTTTAATGGGACATGCTAGTAGGAGCATGGAAGACATTGGTGCTGAAGGTGATTTGAACTGGAGTCTATCTCCAGAGATCTCAGAGGAGATTACTAATATGTGGCCCAGAGATCCTTCTTGTGAAATTTTGATGAAGAATATGGCTGCTTTCTGCTCTTGTCCAAAAAATCTGCCTGAGGCTAAATTGAAGAGTTCCAGATTAACAGCTTTGACAGAGGAGATTCCCAGACAACCTAGTGTTGACTATGTTGCTTGGTTATTAGTGTTCACGCTTATGAAGATCTAAAATGAAAGAAGCAAGCTGAGCAAGGAAAAATACAAAACGTACAGTTTGGGGATTAAAGACGGACCAGGAAGTGTAAACAGAGGGAAGAAAAGCCTAATGCTAAATGGAATAAAGGGAGTGGTGACCTCAGGGCAAGACCCTACCCAGCTAAACTTCCAACCTGTAAAAAGGAATTAAAGTCTAGGGTTAGGCATGATGGTGCACTTGTATGACAGAGGGGGCTAGATCTCTGAGTTCAAGGCTAGTCTGGTCTACAGAGTGAATTCCAGGGCAGCCAAGCTTAAGCAGTGAAAGAACAGAAAGCTGGTGAAAATGTATTTGAATGAGGGCGTCCTTTTCCAGTCCCAGCAAGCAGCAGAACTTGGCAGCTTCAGTCTCATGGTTCTGGCTTTAGAGTCAAGGATGCAAAAAAAAAAAAAAAAAGGTGGGGGGGAGGGGGTATGGAATTTTCCTCTGTGAATAAGGAAAGCCACTGAGGCCAGGCGTATGTCAGAGGTGTCCCTGCATGGAGGCTGTGAAGGTGAAGCCTGATTATGTTGGAGACCTCAAGATGTTGGAGATGCCATGAGATACCTGCTGATGAGAGCTGCTAACAGGGAGTGGTTAACAGCCCAGGAGAGAAGTATGTTGCAGGCAACAAAACTGAAAGGAGTTGGAGATCTGAAGAACGCTTCGACATCAGACATGGAGAGTGCAGAGTTTGGAGTTTGCCCAAGTGGCTTTTGGTCTTGTTTTGGTCCAGTATCTCCTTACTATTCTCCCTTTCCTCCATTTTGAAATGGCAGTGTATATCCTGGGCCACTGTATATTCAAAGTATGTGATCTGCATTTTCATTTTGATTTTTACAGTGTTATAATTAAGAGTACAAGAGACTTTGAACCATAGACTTTTAAGCAGTAGGGAGACTGTGATAGACTGTGGATGGAGACTTTTGAAGTTGGACTGAATGCAATGGCCCTAAGAGGACCAGGAAGTAGATTGTGGTGGTTTGAATGAAAATGGGCCCCATAGGCTCATAGGAAGTGGCACTATTTGAAAGGATCAGGATGTATGGCCTTGTTATAGGAAGTGTATCAGTGTCACTGAGAGTGGGCTGTTAGATTTCAAATGCTCAAGCCAAGCCCAGTGTCACCTTCTCTTCCTGTTGCTCCACATGGGGAGCTTCTCCAGCACCACTTCTGCTGGCACCCTGCCATGTTTCCCCACTATGATGATAACAGGCTAAACCTCTAAACTAGAGGCCAGCCCCAGTTAAAAGTTTTCCTTTATGAGAGTTCCTTATGGCCTGGTGTCTCTTACAGCAATAGAAACCCTAACTAATACAAAGTACACAGTGTCTAACTTCATTTATGCATATTTACCAAAGATAATTGATCTATAGTGTAGACAGAAAGCAAATCATTCACTCTGTCAAGTTCTTCCATCTCAGCATAGTGATTTTAGAATTCTCTACCTTACATGTGTATCTGTAATGCCTTTTATTGCTGGGTATTATTTCATGAAACCACATTTTATCACTTCATCTGTTGATGGAAATTTAAATTGCTTTTCACTTTAGCTGTTACAAACACTAATGAACTAGAATTTAGGGTACATATTTCATTTCTCTATGCAAATTAGGATGACTGGTTATATGGTTAGATATATAAATATTTTGTTACAAGTTATGTTTTTCTTTACCACTCAAATTATTCCAGACCTCACAGCTTTAAATAATACATACTGTTGTCTCACACACTTGTGGGTTAAAAGGCCTAGAACAACTAGCAAGTCCTTTGCTTAGAGTTGCACAGATGAGGTCAAGGTATTGGCCAGTGCTGGGATTTCATAGGAAGGCTGAGCTAGGAAAGGGCTCACTTCTACTTCTGTATGTTCTCAGAAGTATACAGATCCTTGTGACTATGATTTTCATGCAGCTTTATTTTTCAAAGTCAGCCAGTCAAAAACAGATTATTTTTGTAATTTTTTAAAATGTATTTAATTATTTATTATTTATACAGTGTTCTGCCTGCATGTACACCTGCTCACCAGAAGAAGGCACCAGATGTCATCTTAGATGGTTATGAGCCACCATGTTGTTGCTGGGAATTGAATTCAAGATCTTTGGAAGAGCAGCCAATGCTCTTAACCTCTAAGCCATCTCTCTAGGCACCTCAAAAACAGAATTTAGTAACAATTCATGTGTAGCACCAAATGTCTGAACTGTTTAGAGGACTAGAGAAATGGCTCAGTAGTTAGAAGCAATGGCTGTTCTTCCAGTGAGGACCTGGGTTCAATTCCCAGCACCCACATAGCTGACAACTCTCTATAACTGCAGTTTCAGGATATCTGATACCCTCTTCTGGATTCCACAGTCACTGCATGCACATTGTGTGTGGACATATAAAATAAAAATAAATAATATCTTCATACCTCTCTCTACTCTCTTCCTTTTATACTGCCAAGTTTCTTATTCTATTAAAAATGTTTAGGGCTAAAATTAAATCTAGCAATGGAAGAGTTGTGTACTGAAAACTAAAACACACCATATGAAGCCAGGTGATGGTGGTGCACACCTTTAATCCCAGTACTTGGGAGGCAGAGGCAGGCAGATCTCTATAAGTTCAAGGCCAGCCTGGTCTGTGGAGTGAGTTCCAGGACCTCCAGGGCTACAGAGAGAAACCCTGTCTCCAGAAAAGGAAAGAAAAAAATTTACAGAAGAACAAGACCCTAAAGAAACATGGGAAAGATAGCCTGTATTCGTGGAGCGGAAAACACCATACTTTTAAGGTGACAGTACTTCCAAGTAGATCTCTAGGTCCAGTGCAGTCTCTATCAAAATTCCAACTGCCTGAGTTGAGAATATGGTCA